GTCCATCCTGTTGGTCGCGATCCTCGTCATCCTGCTGATGATCTACCTGCGTCGTCGTCAGAAGTACGCCTCCAACGCCATCCAGACGCGCAACGCGGCGAGCGTCGGTGCGAACGGCGCCAAAGTGGGCCGTGGTCCGCCGCCAGGCGGCTTCGGAAAGTGAGTTAGTTGTCAGCTGGACGTCCTCGTGACTGACGCTGTGGCTGGTTGTCCGGTGATGCTGTGTGTTGTTGTTGGTGGTGGTGGCTTTGACGAATCGATGTCGCTCACATGCAGGCTTTTGTGAACTTGGTACAGCTGACCAATAGCATTGCAAAAACCCTGTAACGTGATTGGTCCGTTAAAGGTGCCTCCCACGCACTCTACCCACATACTCATTCGTTGCTTTAGCCGTTTTACGAAGAAGGTTTGATAGTCTTCTTGCGGTCGCGACGACTTGTGTCTCAGAAAACTCCATTATCGTCGGTAGGTGACGCACTAGATCTCTGTGATAGCTAATTTTTACTGCTCTAGTGATCAATACGACACGTGAGCTTCACGCAATGACATCACGCGTTTGAGTTGCCACATGACACTCGTCTCGTGTGTGTGTGTGTGTAATCACGGTGACACGTCGCCTCGAGTCACGTTCCGACGTCTACCGATAACGGTGAAATCGTTTCTACGTTGGACGGGCAGCGATGTTGACACAATCCACCACGTGTGTACCGTAGTTAATTACCCGGCTGCCTTTTTGCCCGCCCATTCAACGCTGACTCACCGCAAATTTAGCGCTAAAGACGCGTTCGTTCCCTTTCTTCACACTCGAATCCAGATGTGATTTTGGCAGCCACTGGTGTGTGTGTGTGTGTGTGTTTACGCTATCTGCGCTCTAAATGAATGACAAACTACGCATGCGTTTGTCTTATCCTTGTTGTGTGTCTTCTCCAATGCTAAAACGCCAACAAAAATCGCCATCTCGTCATTTAGTAACGGCTGTGTTGTTTAAATTTGATGGCTTAGTTGGCGGCAAGCCTGACCCTCTTACCTTAAGTGTCCTTCAATCAGACGACCCCATATTTGCCAGAATTACTGTCACATTTGGCAAAGCACACCTCAAATCCCCAGAAAAGACTGATTTTGCGTCATTAAATCAGTGGCATTCGTAAAAAAAACATAAACGCAAAAGGTAGTACTGATTTTGTCCAAAAATCTGGATTTTATCCGGGGGGGGTGGGGGGTGTTAGCTTCTAGATAGACACGATTTGGTGTTTCGTCACGCAACCACACCGACTAAACCTCCTAATTTTCACACACGAAGCTAACTACCCTCTGTTAACGTGTGAGGTCGTAGTTTGCCTATTCGCAACGCCCTCAGTGAATTTCCTCACTTCGACAGGCTGCTATTTTTAGCGTGTACCACAAAATCTGCCCATCTCAGGCCCGGTAAAAATTTGCCCGCTTGGGAAGGTAGAGCCGGTCGTCTAATGCCCGTCCTCCCAGCGCCTACTTTTCCTCTCCGCTCAGGCCTCCTCTCCCTCCACGCGCACACCAGCCAATCACGTGTCGGTGTGGTTGGTGGGGTGCGTTAGCTCGTTGAGCTCAGTTTGCGCGAATCGCCTGCTCACCCACCTCTATTAACACCAGAAAAAGAATTAGGCTCTTCCCCCATCTCATTTTGTGCCCTCTCGCGTCTGTTTTAACCGCGATTACCTCGTGCCCACCTTCCGGTGCCGAGTAGCCAATCAGAGGCCTCCTGTGGTGGCGCACTTTTCAACCGCGTGTTTTTGTGGCTAATGGCGTGGTTAGTGCCGCCGGCCGGCCGGTAGGCGTCTGTCACACACACACGCACACACACAGCTAGTCTGTTAAAACCAGTTGTCATCTTCGACCTACTTGGCTTCCACCCATAAACCCGTGTTGTTTATCTTTACCCCAAATCCCTTAACCACCAATCACAACGCAGTGAGTCATGGCCAAACTTCTTTTCTGTATCCTGTACTTTTGGAGCTCCTTTGAAGGCAGCTAATTCATGCAAATCTCAGTTTCCGATGCCCAAACCCGCAAGTCTTTTTAAGCCTGCCTGAGTACCAACCACCATATTTCCCCTTAACCCTATTGGCCAATGTGGACCAATCAGATTTCTGTTTGACCGCAAGCATTTCTAGCTCTAACTCCTGCAACCTCCCTAATCCCCAATGCTGCATTATTGCCGCCGAGGGGAAAAATCGATAGGAGGTGTCTATTAGACTACTTTTAGCAGTCAGTGATTTGTCAAATGGCCAATGTGCATTTTGGCCCTATCAACCACCACCTCTAAACTTCGTTTTTGTGTTTTCTTTTAGACAAGGAACGCACGCAGGATCAGGTGATTACCCGTCTTCCACCAAGGTTAGTTGTCACTTACTCCGATGACAAAATCGGTTAACCACACGCCTTTTGGAATTGCAACTCCAGTGCCGAAGTCATGCTTTATCGCGTGCTTGACCTTTGACCTCTGTAGTGGGCGGTTGTTAGGAGTGAAAGACTCACGACAATTCAACGGTGCGTGTATGTGTGGACGATGCTATTTTTGGAAACCACATTGGTGGGCTGTTTGCGTCATTATCGTATCCGGGAAATTTAAGTACTTCGTAAATAATAAAAAAACACCCAGAACGGGTGGTATCGCTTTGTTGCTGTCGTGGTTTGGGCATGCCTGCACAATAACGAGACTCCCCCCCCCCATGTCTTCCTCTCCATCTCGTTGTCGGTTTGTGGATCGCGTGTTGGCGCCTTGTAGACGCGTGAACGCGCGTAGTTCTAGTTTGCCAAGTAAAAAATCACCAACTCAACATTCATTCTTCACCCTCCCTCTCTGCCAGGCCGTCGACGACGTTGTTCGCCAAATGAGCATTTAGGCGTCGCCAACAACACCGTCGTTGTCGAACACTGCCACAAAGCACAGCTTACGCGTCGGCTACACGCACACACACACACACCCACACACCACCCCCATGTCTCTATCCGACAAGCTGTCTCCGTGAGACCTGATTTGATTGAATCTATCTAACCGTGTTCTGGTCAATTAAAATTGCATGGCAACAGATTGTGTGACGTTGACAGGTTTTATGCGGGTGTGTGTCTTGGTGAAAATATGCTACTGGCACTGGGAATGAGTAATGTCTGTCTAGAGTCGCCTCCTTTAAACAACTTCCTCCTCCTCTCTCTCTCTCTCGCATTTTGCAACTATAGATTTTTTATTGATTATCGACGATGTGATTGGTGTACCCATCTGGGGCTTGTAGCCAATAGAAACGCGCCGTCCTTTTATTCTTTATTGTCAACTCCTCTAAACCTAATGCTTTTGCATTTCCGCCTATAAGTTTGCCATATTGATTATCAGCGATGTAATTGGTGAAGCCATCTGGGTCTCTTAACCAATAGAAACGCTCCGTCCTGTTATTCTTTAATCCCAACTCCTCCAAACCATCTGGGTCTCTTAACCAATAGAAACGCGCCATCCTGTTATTCTTTAATCACAACTCATCCAAACCATCTGGGTCTCTTAACCAATAGAAACGCGCCGTCCTGTTATTCTTAAATCCCAACTCCTCTAAACCTAATGCTTTTGCATTTCCGCCTATAAGTTTGCCATATTGATTATCAGTGATGTGATTGGTGTATCCACGTGGATTTATCAACCAATAGAAACACGCCATCCTATTATCCTGCAAATCAAACCGATTTATACTCACGATCTCTTCAACTCGCTTGCCTCGCAGATTTTCCACCTTCTCATCTTGCATGCTCAAGTTGTAATTCTTGTTTAACTCACAAAATTGCCACACTATCCGTCCGAAATTGGCCCGACACACACACACACACCCACACGAACGTGATCGCTGTGAACTCCGCTAATTCACACCACTATTCTTGGTTCCCTAGAACAACCTATTCGTAAATCCGTTAATGCTTGACGGAAATTGGCCTGATAGCCAAAATGAATACGAATGCATCTTCGACCCGGAACACCAGGTAACCTCGCGCAGCCTCGATTGTCCCTCCTGATTCGCTGGCGCCGTTTAATCGGCTCCAAACGCTTGCTCAATGTGTCCCCTCCCTGTTTTACCGCCTCCTGTCCAGTTACTACTAGTCGTCATTGTTTTTGCCTCGCTCTTCGATGGTGTAGTTGGTGTTTAATCGTGGTCGCTGTTCGCGATGTGCAACAGAACCTCAACCGAGTCATGTCCGACGGTTGGTGGCCTGTCGAAGCACGATCGTGCCAGTTTTCGGTATTTGTGGTTGATCGTTTTCACCTACGTCATGAAATGCCACTCAGGTGTCAACAAGGCCTTGGAGACGCGTGGCAAATCGGTGTTTTCTTTGTTGAGTGGTTGTCACCGTCGTGTTGTGTGCTACTGGCTACCTCGCGCGCGATCAACATCGCATTCGTGTTAGCTGTCGGTCGAATCTGGTGGGTGGTATCTTGGCGACAAGCTAACACCCACACCAAGCGCGGTGCGTTGAATACGCAGCCAGACAATCAATTCGGTTGGGCCATTATTGGTGAAATGCCGCGCGTCCGATTGGTGGAAATCCCCTCCACTCAAACTCACTCACGATTGGCCAGAATGGGATGAGGGATGGGTTGACCAACTTTGCCTTAAGGATATCACTGATTCCAAAACTCTGTCAGTAGTGAAAGCCACGCACAACTTTACAACGTACACACAATGTTCGCGTGGGCTGTCGGGTGGCTGAATTTGTTAATTCAAAACCGCCGACAACACTAATGCCAATCTAGACGTGTGTGTGTGTGTGTGTGTGAGAACGTGATAATCCAGACTTGTCGTAAACGCCTTAAAACTTGCCAGCCTCCGTAAGCCGCAAATGACGCTCTCTGATTGGTCCAAATTTTCACCGAAAAACCAATTTTGCCTAAATCGTTTGATGCAGTCTGCAAGGGATGCCAACGGATTGACTTTGACCTTCGAGAAATTTTGTGTGACAACGAGGGCGCGTGATTCGGAATTGGTCTTCTCGTTGATTAACTCCAATGCCCTGCTTGCATTATCTCCCCTACTTTGCGCCGCTATCGTGCGAGGTGTGTAAATCACATAACCACTCCTGGGTGATTGTACTTTCGCCCAGTGCACTTTTGTTGCCGCTTTTTGCCAGCTAGATGGTGTGCATTCTTTTAAAGGCCTGAAGCAGGCCATATTTGGCCCTCGGAACTCGTTGCGTGTACGTTATCCCGGGGAGGCCCACCACGGCCGTCTTAGAGTCAAATTTGCGCCCTTGTTCGGTCCACTCACATGTCTTAGCACCTGTCTCCAGTCACACCGAATCCCCATGTCCACACACCCCATGTACAAACCACGAACTCGCCATCGCGTTAAGATCCAGGCTGTCAAGCTGTTAATTGCTGTTCCAGTGACACCTAGTGATCACATTCCGCCTCTTTTTTTTTCATGGAAACTGTCCGACTCCACTCTAACTGACGATGCAGAGTTAACGAGATGTGCGTTACTCGAAGGAGGCAACGCCAGCCTTCCCATTCATCAAATCTGCGAACACGCAGTTGTGTAGTGCTGTGTAGTCGTCGTATCTGGTGCCTACTTTGACCAACCTGTGGCCGCATTTTTGCCACTTCTGAGTCACTTTACTTGGTGTTAGTTTAAACGCGAAACACACAAACACGTACAGCGGGTGGGCCAGCTTGCTGACAGCGCGACCTCCTGTAGTTCTGTCGTTATTCGCGCTTCAGCGAAGTTGAGCATCGCGACTTGTCTGGCCGTTAAAATGTGCCTGTCGACACCCCGGTAACGCAGCACCGTACCTGCGCATTTGCTGCGGCACGCTTTCAACGCCGCCACCAGCTAACTGCGTCGGTTGTCTTGCCTTTTTGCATTTCAATTATGCGTGTGTGCGCCAAGACATGTCACTGTCGCAGTTACGCTGCCCTCACGGCCTCTCTCTCTCTCTGATTTTCTTTTTTTACTGCCGTTGGACGTGCTTGGTAGTTGTCAGGGCAGTTACCTGGACCCCCTAGTGACGCGTGATCCGTGTTACCAAATTACCGCCCACATTGATTGGTTGTTTTTGCGCAGAGTGATTCTCCCCTCACATCGATTGGTTGTTTTTCACAGTGTAACTCTGCGCCCTCATTGATTGGTGGGTTTTGCGCAGAATTAATCTCCGCTCGCATTGATTGGTGATTTTGGGCGTCGCGTTTGGTGATTGGTGGTTTTTCTTAGTTATTTTTTGAGCCATCGACTTACGCTGTTCGAGCAGTAAGACATGCCGTTTTGGAAATACTAGCACCATCCACAGAAACAAAAGCCATCCATTGCTCTATGCCGTTTGAAGCCTCGTTGTCACCTGACGTTATCGTAGACAATCTGCTCCATTCACCGGCTGTGATTCGTTGCAGTGTGTTGCTGATGCATGCCACTAATGTTGATTGGTTGTGTTGTGTGAAAATCGATCGCTTCCCAACAATGTACCCAATTACGTGTGTCGAAATCGTTTCATTTCAGCGATTAGCTGATAGCCAGAACTGTCCTTGACAAAAATCGATTTTTGAAGGCCGAATTCCCCATGTTGCCCGACGTCCCTGCCTTGCCTCCAGCATGCACCTCCCCTCGCTTCCTTCTCTTTAATCACTTTTTTTCACCTCTGTCATTTTCCGACCGGAACTCGTGCCAACTCTTGTAAATCACACGGAATTTCGTCTAGCTATTTTTTTCACGGACAATTGAATTAGCCCTTGTTTTGCGTCCCGTACAAATTTTGTCCTAACTCGCGGACACCCCGTGTAAATCACTCACCTCTAGCGTTTGCTTGCAAATTAAATTTGTCGCCACAAATAGCCTCCCTTTGGTTTCTGATTGGTGGATGCGAGTAGAGCTCGTTTGGCGCAAACCGATTGGTCGAGCGGTTGGCGAGTGGGCACGTGCAGGGAAAGAGAGTAGCTTGTCAATTTGACTCGTTCTCCTTGTGTGTACCTTTCTAACTCTCCTTGTCTTTCTTTTTTTTCTGCCTTCTCCTCATTCCCTTGGGGCCCGCGTCTGCTCACGGTATGACAAAAACTGCGTATGCTCGTTCCACCTGTTTGCATGTGTGTGTGTGTGTGAACTGCATGCTTGCTAAACGCACACTCGCGTTTGTTTAAATCCGTGTCGGTCGCATTGCATGCGCGGTAACTTGTTGCCGCTGGTAGGCGCAGCATCACGAGTTGACTTTGGGCGGTAGAGTGGCCAAGCACCACGCGAAGCCACCTGTAAAGGATGCGGAGGAGAAGGAGGAAGAGGAGGAGGTTTTGCGTATTACTCAGTGTTAATGAGTAGTATGCGCGCGACCCACCATTACGTGACTTCCTGACTTGCTACTCAAACCCCCCCCACACACACACACACCCACTTTTTTTGCTAATGCGTGGTGCCCGTGTCCTGCACGCCAACATTGCCTGATTCGCATATCCAAGCATCCACGTTGTTATCTGTAGATACGAATACCATGTTAACAATAAAGCCCCCTTTTTCCCGTGCCTCAACCGGGTTAATTGGGCGAATGGGGTGGGCCAATCGTAGCGTGGAGGTTGCTGTGCACCTTAGTGCGTGTCGACACAGGTGCACACTGCAGCCGTATTATTGGATGCATGCATCTGAAGCTGTCCTGTTTAGACACATCACCTGGGTTTCTCATTGGTCCGTCTTTCTCATTTCTGCTGCCTCCTTTTTTTATCTTCTCTTTTTTCGCCACCTTTTTTCCCTCGATCTCATTAGCCAATCAGTGTGGTGCCGCTTTGACTCCTGATTGGCGAACAGCGTCCCCTCACCTCAATTGGCACACTTCTTCAAGTTCTACCACTTAACCTCTCTTATCTTCGTGGACCACGGAAGAGGAGATGTCTGTAGATTCCAGCGAGGTTAATGTCTGTCTGTCTGTGTGTCATTTATATACATCCGACAATGACATCTAGTAGCCGAAGGTGAAAACCATTACGAGGTCATCGGCGTCTTTAAACTGCACTTATGTTCGCCCCACTACAGTGTCCTGAAACTCGAACAAGCTGTGTCGCGTGATTTGATTGGTTGTTGTGTGCGGGAATTTCGAATCGCTCCAGTTATCTCGCAAAGGGCAAATTGTCTTGCGTTGTCTTCTGATTTGCCCGAGTTGAGTTCGTCTGATCCCTTCTTTAGCCAACTACTTTTCAGCTGGGTTCAATTTTAGTCGTTCCTTACACTGTGATAGTTTGTTCCCTTTTTGGTTAAAGAAACCAATCCTTCGTTGCACCCGCCTCGTCCACAAGTCACGGCATTAATTGAACTGTGTTGTGATTATCGCGTGAACCGGCCCCAAAGTACACACCGCCGACAATCGTGCGTAAACACGCCAGCGTAAGGTTAAAAGTAAGCCCCATTGCGTGCCAAGCATCGGTAGAGTGTGTTGTGGAACCTACAGCGCTGCAAATTTGTTCCAGCGCCTCAAGCTCCTCCAGACGTACTTGCGTGGATATCGATCTCGTGTTGTGTCGGCCCCTATTGGTCGTGCTGACGACCTTCACGGGTAGGTCAGGCATAAATCCACACCTCTACAGCACCACCGACTGGACGACCGCTGTTGGCCGTTGTCTAGACGCCTTGGTGATCCAGACCCTCCGACAATCTGTGCGTTTGCTTCCACGTCGGATCGACCGAGTCACAGTTGTTTTAACTAAACTAATTTAACCAATCAGAAGTAAGAAACCGCACGCGCACACACACGCACAAACTTTGCATGCAAGTCGTGGTACTGATTCTTCGCTTTAGTGCATGACACTTCCTACTGCGCTGTCTGGTTCGCGGTCATCAGCGACGTAGAAGCGAATTCCGCCCTGTACTCACATTCTTTCCAAAAAAGCCATCCACAGTCATGTGACCTGAACGCTCTGTCTGTCCTTGCTTTAATAATGAATTGGCAAATGTTGTCGGCGGACATCTCATCTCTCTCCCTGTGTGTGTGGCTACACCGAATTCGCTTGCGTCTTTCCTTCAGACCAATCGGATGCTCTACGAGATCCGCTCGTCATTGGTGGATGATGGCGAGGAGTCGCCGCGCCTAGGCCTTCTCGCCGCCAACAGCCAATCAGCGTCTTCGCCGCCACCGCCGACCTCCACGATGTCCGAGGGCGACGCCATCGAGTACGCCGAATTGACCTTCCCAGCTGACCAGACACCAGGCAGACGGGCGCCCTTCCACGCCTCCGCCACCCTCGGTCGGCGCAGCTCGGGCTGCCGGCCAACTCGAAAACCCACTCCTGGTGCGCGTTGTGATTGGTCTTTCCCTTTTGTCAGCCAATAGGCGTCGAGCAAATTTGGGCCAATTGGATGACGTCATTTTTAACGTTCGGGAAACGGCTAATCGTGTTTGAGCTTACAAGGCGGGGATTTCCACCAATAGTAATCAAGTTGAATCGATAAGGCAGACGACAGTGTCCAAATTTGACTAGCATGGTTCTTAATCATTTAGCACCTCAAACACACTTGGTCCTGTGTTCCTGCACTTTTGATTTTACGCCTGGCACCGCCACAAGTTGCAAATGACTGTAGCCAATTGGTATCTGTTTCTTTTTGCATTTTCTTGCATTATTTTAAATTCAAATTGACGCGTGCATGGCGCACACAGCGCTCTGTTTGCGTGTGTGTGCGTGCGTTGTGTGAACAGTTGGCTCTGCTCATTATTTTACGTGAAAATGTATGTCTACTTATAACCTCTTCAGTAGGCAGTATTTTCTGTGTTTAGGCCCTTCGACATCTGGGGCTGGGTCGGCGTCGATGCAGCAACTCCCGCGATCGCACACACAGGACAACGACGACGCTGAAGGCAACTACACCGAGATTGTTGGCGTGATGCAGCCCAAGGCCTACACTAGTCAGTTGGTGTTGAAACAACAGCAGGAAGCCACAAAGGCTATCCTCGGAATGAACTCGAACGCACAATCGGTGTTTGTGTAAATTCCCCCCTCCCGCACGACGACCATTCTCTCGCTACTCACTACTTGTGAGTAGGCTGACTTTCCAAGTCCATTCCCGGCGTAACACATGTCCGTTGTCGACGCTTTTTATCGATCATGACACTGTTTTACCACTGCTTTCTGGTTTTTGTGTGTCCACGCGCAGTTTATGCATTGCTTCCCATTGTACTTTCAAAAAAGTGCATTTACATCTGTGATGATGATGATGATGGCTCTGTTTCCTTGTCAACAACCCCCCCCCAACAATCATCTGATGTTTTAAATTTGTTTAAATTCATCAATAAATTAGTAGGCAGTTTGCTCGATAATTCGAATTCGGGCTGTGCTGTTACCGAATAATCGGTTGAGTTGAATGCGTCAAAACACTGCCCAATCCGATAATCTTTTTTCGTTCGATTTGAATTAAATTTAAAGTAAATTTATTACAGCCAATTGTCAATTTTGATGTGGAATTATCGAGCATATGTGGATTTTTACGCAGCATAGACGATTCATGTGTTTATGCCCAATTACATTTGTGGCCCGTAATTGATTGGTAGACGTGATCACCTGAAAGGAAGTTGATTGGCTGTTTGAAGGTGATTTTCAGACCAGTTGGAGTGCTCGCTTGACGATTCATTATAAACAATTATTTGCGATAAATTGCTTTACCAGTGCTACCATTTAGACAATCAGCAAGTGGAATCAAGGTTCAAGTGGCACAGACTCGTCCACCTTCGTAAAATTGTGGCCAACGCGTGTTTTGATCGATTGACACTGTTCAAGGTCACGACTGGCATGCGCGCATCACGGTTCATTTAAACAAGCCGAAGTTTAGTTGATGGTGTTCCCGGAAATAAGACCAATGTCCTTCCGCTTCAACTCGCGCAACGACACCTCTCCGAACGCCAGTTTTACCGAAGCCACGAAAAAACTTGCCAGGACGTATTACCCACTCATCTACGTGGACAAACGTAGACTGGCCAAGTCAATAATCGATGTGCAGGCCAGCTTTGAGGTGTGCTTCGACTCGCTTGAGGAGATAGACCGCCTTGCCACCGAGGTGGAGAGTTTGAATTACGCCATCTATGGTCTGGAACAGGCGCTGAGTCGAGCGGTTGCAGAACTCGGCACAATTCGTGACGAGGTGCAAAATCTCACTATCGCCCTCAAGGCGAGCGAGCAGTTCAACCTTCGGCTGTACGAACAGCTGATGATCGTCGATCGCAGCACCACCGATGGCATAGAGTGCAGCCAACAGACTCTGGAGACGTCTAGATCTTATAGATTCGCTCCCGTGAACATGATGGACAAGTATCGCATTCCGAAGGCGACTGAAGACGCACTCAGCAGTGCTGCATGCGACAGCGCCCAGCGCACACACACGGACGTCACCGCGTCGAGTCTGATTGCAGCTCAGCACGCAGGCTCAGATCACCAGAAGTGGGTTGCGCGGATCCAGCACGCTCTGTCAAGTCGACACGCTGAATTCAGCTTCCTCACCATCGGCCTGTGGACGGAGGAGGTGTGCAGTAATCACTACTTGCGCCAAGATAACGACGACGACGCCGGGTGTTTTGGCAGAAAGAGAAGGACCACCACGTCACCGAACGACACCGATCTCAAGTCCCTGCTGCTGGCACACCAAGTGAAGATCGACGACGTACGCGCCACCCTAAGCACGATTCAGAAGAACGTCCACGACCTCGGCGAGGAGATCTTTGAGGAGCTGAAGCGTCAGCGCACGAGCCACGACGACGCCAAGAACATCCACCGCGCCTTGAACAGTGAGCTGGGCGAAAGACGGGGTCAACTGGTGGAGAACTTGCTGGCCACCCACCACGCCGTCCAAACTCTCTTGGAGATGGACGAACAAAACAACGGTCTGGTGGGCAAACTGATCAAGTCAAGACCCCTCTTCGCGGAGCTCCAAGACGCGCTGGTTCGTGGAAGCCTGGTGACCTCCGAAGGTCGGCCAGACGCCAACCAGAGCTCCTTCCAAATGCTTCCAGAAGTTCTGGGTCCCCAGGGCTGGGCTCAGCTGCTGGACAAGCTTCGGAGTGTCCGGTTGTACAGCCCGAGAAGCAAACGCGATTCCACCAACACCTCGACGCGACACTTGCCATCGGAGCAAACCTCACGCGCCACAAGCGCATGATGTGCCGCGCATTGTATAGCAGTTTTGGTGTAGAGTTTATTTTAGCAAGAATAACGATCTCTGTAATTACAGCGTTAAGATGAACCCCTTTTTCAAGTAGAGTAGTCCATTGAACACACGTGGAGGATTCCTGTCCACATACGTACTGGTCAAATATCAGATTCGATTTACAAACATTTCGTCGATGATTTGCCGTTCGTCGGAATGAATACTTGGACGCGTTCAACGATAGAAATCAATGTCATGGCGGGTCACCTCAAGCAGGCGTGTCTTCGTGTTCGTGAAGGTCACCGGAATGTCGCATTTACACCGGAAATTTGCCTCTGCTTTAAGATTATGCTGCGGATCAATTTGGATCACTGCGGTGTAAAATGCGCGCGAAAACACCTTGAAGGGTGTGCCATGCCAACACTCCAAATGCCCTGCCAAAGCCTTCACGTGATACGCTTAAGTGAGCAATCGGTGGTGTTAATTACGACTCATCTCATGGCACCACTTTAATGTTGCGCGTCAATTTCAAGGTCTTTTTGTTACCTGGATGAAATTTGGATAGCAAAATTTTGATGCCCAAACAGGGCGCGGCCATATTGGATTCCGCCATGAGCTCAGACAATCCCCCGTCCTTGCTTGCCTGATTGGCCAATGAGGAAGATCTACAGCCAACCACAGATCAGGATTTATGAGGAACTCGGCTACACAACATCGGGATGGTGGTGCTATTTGGAGTCCAAACACGGATTATTGATTACTAATTGGTGGATTCGTAGAGGCGACGATTGTAGATAACCGCACAATGACATGCACGGTGCTAACGAGTTGAGGTGGCCTGTAGAAGGTTACACCGCTTGCCACTTAACACGGAAACCCCACAGAAAACTCCAGTGAAAAAAAGAAAGACGTCATTGATCGGCAAAGAAGGGCCACAAATTGCATATCACAAAAAAATGCACGTTACGTGGTGACTGAACACAGTTCAAATCAGATTCTTTACACCCCCAGAGCAGGCAAGTTGGCCTGGGGAGAATGACGACGACGCTGGGCATTGTGGGTGGCTTTTCGCAATGCCATTTGCAGAATGACGTTCTGAAAGGAATTGCGTAGAAGGAGACGAACCTACAGAGTCGAAGTTGACAATAAAATACCTCAGTGGACATGCCTTTGAGATTTAGACACTGTTTTGTTTAAGTGGACCAAACCGCAGTGCGGGCTGGTTGAACAGGGTTTCCTGTGGCGCGGAATATGACCTGGAATGCTATGACTTGGATTTAGTGTGTGTGTGCGTGTTAAACGAAAAAACGACGTTGAACGTACCTCTTCATTCAAGAAGCAGAAGATTAGCGCCACCCAGAAACCCTACAAATTAAGACGGTAGGCAAAAACTGACATATTTTTTGTAGCCAATTGCTATACGCAAGAATGCAGTTCATTGGTTGAGGCAGAACCAATCAACTAGGCGTGTGTATATTTGCGCGCCAATTTCATTTGAACCACATCGATATTCGGACAGTGCTCATTGGTCGAAAAACCCGGCAATAAATTTAAGCGAGAGCCCTTTATAGACCACCGAAAATATCGATTACCGATATAACTAAACGGTAGCAGATTTGAGTTTTCTGTTGATGTAATGTAGAATTCGCACGACCCATCATAGTATATTTTTTCAAGGTCAGTAAGCATTATCATCACAACCTATTTGATGGAGCCAATTAAACAAATCCAGCGCGTTAATTTCCCATTGTCCAATCCAATTAACGCCTTCCGGCGCTTATTGTTGAATGTGTGTGTGTGTGTGTGCAAAATTGTCTGCTGGGGAGAGATTTTGAAGGGAAATGCCCACCTGAGTAGAGGTGACGATGGCGTTGATGTAAGTGAAGATGCGCACAACCGACGCGTGGTAGGGCACAATGAATATGACCTGTGGAATGCCCAACAGCGGAACCAGCATGAGACAGGCCTTCAGCGACCTCCTGCAACACGAAAACAGGGCAATCAGGCAATGCTCTAGGCAGACGAGGCAGCAAACAACGATGAGTCTCATTACGCACATGAACTCCGCCCTGTTGAAGCGAGCTGGAAGCCTAAATTTTGGCTTGTAGACGTTCCGCGCGAAGGCGAACGGCGATCTGACCGGTGGAGCAGGTTTGCGGTCACTGGAACCACCTACGATCCGACCATTCGCCATTTCCAAGCTCAGACGGTGATGTGGGTCACACGAGGAAGTCGGCGCGGTGTCCGTGGACACGTCAAGACGAGGGGTCGTGAGGCCGATGCTGAGCATCTGGCTTGAGGCTGAACGATTGCGTCGTCGGGTGACGCCAGTGGCGGCTCCATTCGACGGTGAAACCTTCGGTGCTTTGAGACGGAAGAGTAGGGTGTATATGATGGAGATTAGCACGAGAGTGTTGCACTGGAACACAAAGGAATAGCTTGCGACACATTGTGTAAAGTCTTGTGACGTAAGACTACATCGGATCATCGAGATATGCGTCAAGAGGAGATGGCCTACATGAAAACCACGATCCTTAACAACACCGCTTCCAGATGGCCAATGATTTTGCCTCACTTCTAAAACCCCGCCGTAGATATTAATCGTAACATTAAAACAAAAGGACTAACCAATGAACACGTGAATTAAACGAATTTGGAAACAATCAATAATTAACGGACTTACTGCGAGAATTACCAGAGAGGGCAACGAGATCAGGTAGAAATCCTGGCTTTGTTCAATCCAACGCCTAAATTTTGAAAACCAAAAAATCGATTTATACATATATACATACTGAGTACCCGTTTCCACCTTCTAGGTGTGTCTATCAGTTGGCCTTGGCGCTAGCAGCCCCATTAAGTGCCATTCTGAATAAACTGGCGAATCGAAATTTACCCACAAGGTCACGGGTCGATTGATTACTACTCTCTGGCACCAATGAGATTTTAGTACTGAAATCGCTACAACGTTAGTAGAAATAGAATACACCCTTATAATTTGAGAGAGCGGTCGCCACTTGTGAGGTCAACATTCAGAGCACAATTGGCATCTTGTTAACGCGATTTGAGAGAGCTAAAGGTGGCGTGTTATGGCAGTACACACACACACACACGCACACAAACAAACAAACGACACCAAACCAGCTCTGTCACTAATTCAACCAGTCAGACCTCAGAATTCTCTCGTGGGGGTAGTTGTTGGTGAGTTTTGCCGGAAAGGCGTTTGTGGCGTTACCCGAGAACGAGGCAGACAACACCCACAAGGCCTAAAATATCGTTGTGGGGGCGTGTTTAACGCGGCTACACTCATCCAACGCGTGTATGAAGTTGTGCGTACAGATTTTGTCTTTGATCTTAAATTTATATTTAGAAATAGAAGAACTTTCACGGTCTGGTGTGGTTTAGTTTGCATTTGTCGCGTGGTTACAGAACACCGCACGACAGGTCTACGCAAGCTACATAGGAGAGTTTACGACGATGGCAACTAACAAACAGCACATTCGATGGCACTGCCTTTTATGCGAATTCCAACGTGGAAAACTGCTTCTAAAACACGGAGGGGATCAATTTGTCGTGTTCTTTTGCCTCATGACACGTCCGATTATTGGTACAAAAGTTTTAGAAGTGGTGGTGGTTTCGATCTTAGTGACCAACCACACCCCGGACAGCAGCCTCGAAAGCTTGAAGACGCGGAATTGCAAGCTCCACTGGATGAAGACCCGACGGAAAGATGACCAGAGCTTCCAGCTCAGCTCAGGTAGAAGTCACTTAAACACCTGTTTTAATGCGTTTGCACCACCGAACGAAAAAATTCAATAACTTGGAAGTTGGGCCCTCCACCCACGTGTGTTGACCGAAAACAACCTCCTAGATCAACGTATGAACACATGGCTTTCACTGCCTGCCCGCAGGCAACAAACAAGGATTTCTTGTAGAACACTGTGAGGAGTGATGTCAAGCGTAATGCCAAGCGTAAAATGCCGTGGGTAGGTCACTGGCAACTCAGTACATCGACAGTGAAACAGGACATCCACCCGAGGAAGAAGGTTCTCCTGAGTATCTGGTGGTGGGACTTGAAGGGTGTACCTTATCACAAACTCCTGGAACCTGGACGTCAGACGGTGGTGGCCGAGAAATGATCAGCCTGAGCAAAGAATTTCATCGGAAAAGACCATTTACTGGGCAAGGAAGCAGGCAAATCCTACTGCTGCTACTGCACGACTCAGAAGACCCTCTTGAACTTGGGATGGCAAGTTCGTCCACACGCGGCACATCCACCAGACTTGGCACCCCCCCTTCCGACTGCTCGTTGTTCCGGTCGATGCAGCAGCAGCACGTCAAAGTGGATGAATCACCCACGGCAGTCTACGCTCAAACGAAACAGCTCATTTTCGCATAAAAATAGACGGGAATTGGTGGTATTTTTAGCTTATCGAAACCACACCCAAACGAGGCGGTGGAAACCACTTACGTGCTGGGATTGTGGACGGCGTTGATAGCGGTCCAAATTGACACGAGTATAGCAGGCACACCTGAAACGAAAAAAAACTCAAGGAATTTGATCTGCTGATGTAGTTAGGCACATCCTTTGTGCTTAATTTCACACAAAGGAATTCACCCACTAAAACTCATCACCCGGTTAGCCACCGTGAATAATTCGATTTATCGGATTCGCACCCTCACAAGGTCACTGAAATGCCACTGGGGTGATGGCTTGGTTTAAATTTACTCTAATCAAGATACTACTTAATCGGCGGACCAATTAAATTAAATTAGCCAATCACATGCCAGATTGGATAAGGTTGTGTAACGTTCACAAACCACTTATCACTGCATCGTTCGCATAATCGCCAAATCCCATTGGCCCACTGTTTCCGCGCCTCAGCTCTCAAGGCCACAATGAGCCTGTTTTGACGTGTCATTTGGTTTGTGTTTGGAGCAAAAGGATTTCTCAATTTGAGGCCTTGTCTTTGAGCTATGCAGGTGGGCGTATTTTCGCCTCAATTTAGCCCAATTAGCCTGAAATCAATTTCCCTAAATGCACGAAACAACAACAGCCCATCAAAGCTCAAGCCCAGACGCCCTATTGGTCAATGATTGTTCAACTGCCCAGCGAGCGTTTTTATTGGTTGGAAGAAATTCCTGTTTTGAAAGGGACATTACGTGGCATTTTGTGGGAGAATAATAGAACTTGCATTTGATCAAACCACATAAAATCAGATACGCGTGTTCCGTGAGAAAATTGGGCTATTTTAGTCGAATAGCCCGCAGTGAAATTAACGCCGTTCTGGTCTAACCCATTCCACTTTAACTACAGAGAATGCCGCCTTGAAAGACACGCGATCTAAGCACATCCACGCCGTCAAACTGCACATTATCCAAGGCAAAATCAATCCTACCCCAGCCGAAGAGTGCGTAGTGCCAGAGTCGTATTTGGTGAAGGCCATACGTCCAGTAGATAATCTTCAGGAGATGCGCTCCCTCAATGAACATCCAACAGAGCATGGCGAGGCTGGCACACGCCTGGACAGAGGTCGTTGCATTGTAAAGATACTAGATTGTGGAATCAAAGGTGCAGTCAGCACGACCACAAAACCTAAGTCGTACCGCTAGTCGCATGCCGAAAGCATTTCCAGCTTATTTCAACGCGAGCTGCAACAATCGAGTCAGAATTTTAACTACACACCCGGGTTTTTGGGCAAGACGAGAGAGTACGGCGTTAGCAATGAGACAAGAGAGAGAAGCTGACTAGTGAAATTACCTCGGAGAGACGCCAATGCGCTCCACGATTGGTGGCATGCAAGGATACGACCCCCAAACGGAGATTCCTTCACGGATTCGTTAAAAACAAACCGGAAGGCGCAATCGAAACCTCCTTTTTTCTGAATTTAAACACATTATTGATTTATAACGCCGTATTTGTTGCTGTAAGTGATTTAGTATCTGAAACCAACTACTGCCTGGCCATTTTTAAGGATACGACATGCTTAAAACATGACAAAGAGCAGGCGTGATAGCTGAAAGAGGTTGACGATTGGGACTAACTTGAAATCTCTAATTTAAAATGGGGCAATTCAATTATTGTCGGCATAAATTCCCCAGTTCGATCGGGAAATTGACGATAAATCACTAAAATTACAATCAGATGACTGCTCAATGCAGAAATGTGGAAATCGGCGTAGTAGGACAGCAAGAAAGAACCCACCGAGTTACAGTTGATAACAATTTCCAGGAAAAAGAACCCAGTGAGAAGCCACAATTAACTAACAGAAACCAGTGGTAAATATCAACCAGTTGAATTAGCATACCAACTGCACAAGTATGTCTTTTTTTGTACAAATCAAGTAACGAAGTAAACACAAGTATGAAAAAAAATATACAAAGTATAAGTAAACAAGTCAAAAATACAAAAAAAGAGTTTCCAAGCGCATTTTTGAATGCGATTTTTCAGGACTTGCAAGTTACTTTGTTCCCGGATCAATGCTTGGAGGTTTGTACACGTTTTCTCCAAAATTAGTTCAATTTGAGACAATCCAATGGATAAAAATCGGTAATCAGACGACTGTTTATCACAACTGTGACATTCACGCACCACATGGAGACCCGAGTGTCGCTTACAGCGCGTGGAGAATTCGTGATTGGATTATATGGCGTAAAACACAGGGATACTTGCGGTCTGTTCTCGGATCGAGATTGGTCGGCCACACAAATCGAATGAGGATTATCGAAGTTCATAGAAAATTCCTGAAATAATGGTACTTCTGGGCCCTTTAATCCGGGTTTATCGCTATCTGTCAATTCGGTTAAGGTGCCATCAATGAGGACAATACGCTGTTTCGGTAGAAACGTTACGTTGAAATTGAAAGAGGCGAGATTTGTGGGAAAACGAATGAGAGGGCGGTAATATGCTGAATGAAGAGACCTGATAGGCGGAACAGGACTTTTCTTTAAGTGGGTAAAACACGAGCAAGAATGGCGGATTCTGTTACAGTGACATCCCCAATAAGACGAAAATGAAAGAGCAACAGGATTCGTTTGGTACCAGAGGAAGATCTCGTTGTGGAGTTCAATTGCGCTACGACACGAGTCATCCGACAGGATTTGCAATAGTTCTAAATCCAGTGGTAAACGTGTGGGAAATGAAGTGGCTTTCAAGAGAGAAACAATGAGAGGGTCGTTGAACTCCAAGTAACTATAAATAATCGCGTGATTTGTTGAAGAGCCACTTAGATGAAAAGTGAAGAAGCAAAACAATAAAGACAGTGATATTAAAGTTAGAAGGGCTGGTAATGGCCTCATCTCCTGAGCCCAATTATCACTAAATAAACTGAAGTAAATACTACCTACATAATGGACACTGAGGTTAGTAGGCACTTGATTGGTTTAAGAATATTTAAGTGGCTCGACCAATGACAGGTTTGAGAAAATAAGTTTTGGATTGCTAAACATTTTTTTCTTTAGAAAAGCCCAGTTTTTTTAAAGATGCGTTAGAAAAATTTTAATACTTGGTGTGGTCAAAATTATTACAAAGGTTTGATATTCATTCCCCACTCATGAAGCCTTCATTGAATGTAAATATTATAAACGCAATTCACGACCATGATTATGATCTTCATGCTAAGTATAACTTCGGGGTGTGACATAATTTCCGGCCGATATTTTTAAGTCATGAATAATAACTGCATACCACGTTGATAGTTGCGAAGACATAAAAATTACTTTTGCTCTTCCATTTATTCTCAATGTTTAAATCCAGCTATATATTTCAACCTTTTGGAACGTCCATTGCAGCAAAATTATAAATTATGAAATACTTGCTAATTTTAAAATTAGTGTGTTTTTATTCGCATTGAATACACTTAAAGTTGCTATTTTTCCTGCAAAATTAATTATTCGCATACATTTTTAACTAAAAATAAATTAAGCTGACATTTTCTGCAAATTTATACTCAATTTAAGGAAACGTTAAAACAACAGCGCAAAAAAAGGAAGAAATGCGGATTTGTTTAATTTTTCCATTTAGGGAAATCACTTTGCTTCTCTGTAGATTATACAACTTCTTTTCTTCGTTTATCTTTTATAGTCTGTTTGGTCTGTTTTTAAGTATTGAACTGTAAAATTTGACACATTGCAGCAAATCTAATCATCCATGTTTTAAAAAGTATGGACGAACTCCCATTTAATGGTTATTACATACAGGAACTATTGCATGGTTTCGAGGCAAATTCTCGTTTTGAATAAAATTGACGTAGCAACAGAAGATTTTGCCAAGCCTTTATGTAAAAAAACGTTGAATTGCACTTGCAATACTCGATGATTATGACTCTGTTTTATTTTAATTTTGAAATTGTTGGCAGCAGCTCGTTGAAACCTCTTGTTGGTGATTCAAACAAATTAGTACTTGCCATTTTTTAGCCGAAATGCGATGATGATAAGTTGTTTATTTTGAAGTAGTCACTACTAGACACACAGTAGGGCTTTAGAATCTTTTAGTCAATGATTACACATAATTTTGCTAACTAACCATTAGAGGCAGTGAGTCAATTTTCGTGGTTCCGTAGAGCGTAAGCCAAGCGACCACACGAATGACCAATGTCACCATTAAATGCACGTGGATGTGGTTTCTGAGACAGTGCAAAGACCTGTGGGAAAAATTACATTTTTATTAAAAAAGATAGTTGCTGTGCCGACTAAAAACTTCGTTTTCAAATGGTCTGATACGCAGACAAAATTAAATGCCAAAGCTTAGACATTGTCTAGCGTAAAACTTATTTGTATTTAAGTAGGCATGCGTTTTTAAACTACAAAGACATGCAATTTAGTATGAAGTACGTGAAAATTATTACCTGCCTGTAGAAAATTGTTCTATGAAAAATATATGGCTTTGAATACTTTGATTTACTGTATACCACGAAGCCGGACAGATTTATTGGCAGTGTATGGTGTCTGGAGCTGATAAAATCATCTAAGTGTATGTTAAGATGACAGTTCTTATCTGTATTCAATTATCTATAATGTTTTTTTCAGGTTATGATGCTTAGTGGTTTACCGCATAGACGTCCTGACTTCTAATTAGGGTTGCGCAGTTAAATCCACCCATTCCTGTCCCTAGATCCTCGGAGATAGCCTATACGGATGCATGACCTTGAGTTTGTATGATAAATTCTGCGATTTTCAACTGTCAGCATCAGTTTAGTAACCTTGACGGCGTTTGTGCATCCGGCAGTCTTGATGAGGATGCTACAAGTGACTGCTGCATACATTAGTGCGACTCATTTCAAATAGTTTTTAATTATTTGATGGTTAGATGTCCATTAGACTCTGCCTAGTCAATACTGGCAACTTGAGAATGGGGCGAAACCTCTATCTCGATCTCTACCCGATTTATACACACTACTCACTTGTACCGAAGTAGTATGAAGAGAGAGAGGACAAGCCCGAGAAGGGAGAAGCAGTAGCCAGTGCAGAAGATGGCCTGCAGGTACACGGTTCCCTCAGCTTCAGAAATGGCGTCTGCGAGCACGCAGGCTCCGTAGTCGGTCCGGTTGTCCCATACACCACCTAGGTGGCAAGTTCGCGTTGCATTTGCTTCAAAAAAAGGCAAAAAACAATGCGAGATAGGCACTGAGGTCGTCATGACTACAAATCGAGTTTTTACTGATCCTGATTTGACGTAGAAAGTCCTGGCCTACAGGGCTAACTGGTCAGTTATCATGCCCACTAGATTTTTTGACAATAATCGACAAAATTTGGAATCGATCTGATCAAAAATCAGCCAAAAGATTATACTTTTTGGCCATTCAAAGACAAAACTGAAGGTGTAATTTGATGTGATTTGAATTAGTTTTAATGAAATTGCTCAAATTTTAAATATAGGAGTGTTTAGCATTGTTTCAATTATCCAATGAGGTTCACGACTTTAGGCAGACTCAAGGTCAGCCATCTTGGCCAAAGAGATAATCGATTAGTAAGCTTTTAAGTCTTCAACTGCACGCACTAAATTCACGTGATGTAATTTGTTCACTTCGCTTTGAATCTGGTGAGCACTTTTTACTTCAAATTTTTGCTGAGACTAAAAATTTTGCCTTGCAATGGGTACAAAGCGTTATTGATTTACTGATCGAGATCTGAAATGACACAAAAATGTTATCGATTTTCTTGATCAAGCTCTGCAGTGACGCACAATCGTTGTGCGCCTATTTGCTAGCGTCTTAAAACAGCACCCCGCTTCAAAATCCGTGGGAAAACACACCAATCTACTTTGGTAGTTGCAGTGTAAATTTAAAACGACTGCGGCTGCGTATTTCCGTCTCTCTCTGTGTGCGATTCAAGCAAGCTGCTACCTCGATTGCTGTCCCACCGTCTTAATAATTTTAATTAACTTTAATGAGGCAATGAAAATTCTGTTTTCTTCGGTTCAAAACCGCAAGTTTTGCCCATTTTGGGCGCTATCATTAGGCATTTCCTGAGATCACAAGCAAAAGGTCTACCGATTTGAATTTCCCGACTCCGACAAAGCAGGAACAGCACTTTCGCAATCACAAAATTCGCTAAAAAGGGCATTGTTAGCCTTGTTGAGAACGCACTCAGAGACAATCGCTGGGACGTTTTGGCGCGCAGAGATTAAAAGTATCGACTGGTATGCATCGGAATTAGCAGCCGAAAGAACCATCTTTTCCCATGTAACCCAACTGTGTCTACGGGCAACACTTTTGAAACCACCGTAGTGTACTGGGTTGACTTTACGCAGTTTTACAAACGATTGCCACCCACAAGACTCGAACAAGGACCACTGCATTGCGCCCAAATTGGTCTACTCACGTGTGCCTCCGATTTACTCAGAGGGTTTG